AGAAGGCTGGGCTTTTGTGGAAAGTCAAAATCTCCTAGTGAAAACCAAAAAGAGAACTTGGAAAAGCAAATTTCCCGCTGATCTAGTGCTTGAATTTTAGGGTTGCGACGGCCTGGATACCAGCAAGGACAACGCTGAAGAAGATGAACATGCTAATCGTTCTGCGCTTTCAGTGAGAAGGTTGGAAGAAATTGAATTTTTTTTAGCAATTTTGTGCCTTACCATTGATTATTGCTAAATTGAAATTCACATTAAGTATTGCAAGTTCGGGTATTTATTTTGTGGCAATTATTTAAAAAACGAAGCTCCTGGTTTGTGTGTTGAGCGACTGTCAGAGTTGAGGGAAGACAGGCAAACGGACAGGCTCGAAATAGGTTTTCATTCTTGGGTGGATTTGTGGATGAAGGCAGCATCGACGGTTACATTAAAGGACGAATTCACGATGGAAAAGCAACCCATTTCAAATTAACCTAGGGATGGTGAGTGGTACACGAAAGAAGGAAGAACCATGAGAAACGGCCCAGAACCCGAGAAATGGGACCCCTTCCTTGCCCGTTGATTTGATCTCATCGCTGTGCCCTCTTCAACACTACGCTCTCTCTGCTATCTAATCACTCGCCACGTATAGACCTGCGGCGAGTGATTAGATAGTCGGTGGGCGTACCCCGCCAACGCGCCAAGAGTGAGCCATGCTAGATCGCCGAGGTCAAATCTTTCGCTGCCAATTGCGCGTCAGTCCGCACCCTCAGGAGGTCCGCCGGTCTCTCAACTAGGTGAATTACCCTTCTTCGACCTTCGTTCTCATCGTGAATTCCTATTTTGATGGAAAGAATATTTGAAACAGTTAAAATGAGCATTGTAAGACGTGGAAGCGAGCGTTCGCAACTTGTAGATAAATATGAATGGGTTTTGGAAAGCTGAGTAGAGCAGCTGTAAACGTGAAGGGATAGTGGAAGGGAGACGGTTTCTAGCGCGGATCACTGGTGGATGGGGCTCTATACTTTGAGGACGGATTAGATTAATGTCGCAGAATTTCCATCCTTCGCTGTGTGCTGTCTCTATCGTGGCAAAATTTGCAGTGAGGAGATGCTCGAACAAACGCAGAATTCGTCCGTTCTTGACGGAATTCGCTTTCATATCTGGTATTCTATGATCCCGCTCGAAAGGAGGAAACGTGGTCTCGATCGAGCTGCTATGGAGGCCTGCTTTGCCATCGTTGACATGGCTATGTCCACAGAATCAGTGAGTTTTGAAATGTGCATATATCCTTTTGACTTTTTTCAATCTACTAGAATTCTAACCATTAAGATTATCAGTGCTGACCTATGCTGGCGACTGCTGGCTGTTTCCTTGGAAGGGCTTCAGTTCTGCCTAGCTGAGGTAATTTTTGCCTGTTTTTCTGTGGCCGCAACATTCATGTCAACATCTTAATGAAACTATTTGTAATCTACGTATTCTTTTGTCTACTACCTTATTACTTTTCTAACCTTGCAACATAGTTTGAGCTGATTCGCTTTGTATTTCAGACAGTGAAGCTGTTCAGAAGAGAACATATCTCCATTGATCTCCAGCTGGATATAGAACGCCTGGGACGATATCTCATCAAAAGGGGTGTGTGTGATTTGAGTAGGGGTTTCTACAGTTGTACTCGGATGTTCTCTTCCAGGCCTGAGTCTCGACGAAATCGGCCAGCACATACGTGTTGGATGGATCTTCAACACAATCGCTGCCATGAACTGATGGGACAGCAGCTGACTTCTGTTGAAGCATTGCTTGGTTGTGACGAAGTCTTTTGTATGCCGGTGCTTACTACTCGATCTACTCGATTTACTTGTACTAAATGTGCTCATTTGACGTTGCTATTTACTCGTTTTCCATTTATGCCCATGTTCAAAGTACGCAGCAGATGTTCACGTTTATGCTTTCTGTGGAATTCTCTCGCTGCGGCGTTTCGCCACAGCAATCCTCTGTTTCAGAAAACCAGAAGTACTGTCGAGTGCAGAACACACACCGCAAGGGTCAAGCCGTCGTCACTTGGAGTATGGTCTGCACTCGACACGCTTCTGGTT